TATCACTACATTATTTTTGATAAAAATGTTTACTTGAAAATTTAACTTTTACATTTATTTTCTCTTTGTTTTAGTGATTTTTTCTATATTTTAATAACAATTGCCAATAAAATTTTCGAAAAATATATATCCCATATGACATAATTATTATATTCGATTTATTTGAGATTTTTTGAATTAAATATCGCATTCGTAAAAAGGGTAGGTGTATTTGCTAAGTTTTCGCCTGTATGTAGGTAACATTATTATTACAACTCTATACTACAAACACGAAACCTTGTCTACATTTAGGCTTACTCTATTTTAATTATAAAACATTTTCTGTAATATTTGCTGATAACAATTATCTTAATTTAATAGTAAATTGAACAGTCTTTAAATTTTCGGTGCAATGGAGACATCACAGTTATAAAATACGAGGTGTGTTCTGAAAATAAAGGGACATTTTAAATCTAAAATTTGGTTTAACAGCAGCAGAGAAGTGTAGGCGCTCAGTTCAATCAGCTTCATCAGTTTATCTTTACACACGCTTTTCTCAAAACTATTTTTTCAAATTTGATTCAGTTATTTCTGCATGTTTTATATATAGTTTGGGATGCAATCACTTATTTTTTGTTCTGATAAGAATTTTAGCAGACCAGAAACGATCAAAATTATACATAAAATTGAAATTTTTCTTTAAATGTCGCCATTTTGCCAATTTTTGATATTTTTTCGACAGCAGGTTATTAAGCTGATAATTTTTTCTCCTAGAAATTTTTTCCTCCACGGAGAAGGCCGGAGTCACTGTAAGAGTGAAGGAACTTTTTTTGCGCCTTCGAAGATACCGTGTAATTCAAATAATATTTAATTTTTTTCTTCAAAAATTTTACTGTGTATTCTTAAAATATGTATAAATATATTCTTAAACGAATTTTAAAACAAATGATAAAGGATTTGAATGCATATCTTAAAGGCGATTCGTCTATAAAACTCGTTCACATTATTAACTAAGATTCACTTCGATACGTCGTAATATTCATTCTAATTTTACCAATTCTACTTAAGGAATCAAAGATTAATATTTTTTAAAAATCTAATTTTAAGATTTATTTATTTTACGAAAACTACAAGTATATCTCTCTTGGCCTCTCCCTTATTGTCGCTCATTTAGAGATCGTTCCCAATAGTTTTTAAAATCATATGGCAACATGCGAAAACTGATGATGGAGTTTTCTAAAAACATAGTTTAAAATTGTTTCAGTTAATTTTAAGTAAGTCAAAGCTAGTTCTATAGGTAATGAGTAGTGTATGCAAGGAGTATCAAAAATACAAAAATTGGTATTAAAATTGTTCAATTACTTGTGTATAAATCAGAAATGCTTTTATTAATGCATATTTCTTTAAATTTTCACAAAAAACGTCAGTTTGTATTTGTAATCTAATATTTTTTGTTGAAGTTGATTACATATTTATAAAGAAATACCTCAGAGTTATCTTATATCCTATATTATATTCTGTATACTAGTATTTTATCTAAAATAAATTAACAAGTATTTCGAGCATAATATCACCCACCCTTATAATTCTCTTTTCAACTTAACGCTTATTCCCTTTATCTAACTTTACCAAAGTAGCAAATAATAAGCGCAAGCTATTACGTCCTCGTGAAACCAAAATCAGATATGATTTCTGCTTGTTGAAATTCGTTTTTATCTCCAAAAGACCGCAATTGTGGCCACTGACAGCAAGTGAAAGATGTGAAGCATTTTCACGAATACAGGCACAAGTAAACGGATACATCTAAGGCACATGTATGCAAGCAATATATACATACATATATATATATAATTATGTCGTTGAGGTTTTGCATGCACACAAGCAGCTAGTACGATAGGGCTCAACCAAACAATGGAATACTTCAAGTATGATGAACAACCTTGAATGGGAAGGCGTTCCTCAAAGATGCACAAAACTGAATCATACATGTATGTATATATATTTGGTCGTGTGTTTGCAAATAAGTGCTTACATGTTTATTACACACATATATACATTACAATAGAGTAATAACGGTGCATTTGATACACATATGTAGTACACACACACATATATATATGTATATATGCTTCCTCGTATACGCTTTGTGATTCCTCTTTGCCAGCATTTTGTTGCAAATTCGTTTTAAAGCAATCAAAAATAGTGCAGACAATACACACATACATACACAGCAGTAATATTTGGTAGATATTTGAGTTCACATCACCAGCAGCCACACACAGTTAATCATACGCCCCGTTGGACCACACATTGCAGTCAAATTTACAATTCAAAGCATACTTTTAGGGTTATGTAGCGTTACGGCTTTTGCTGACTTACGCATTCTACGCCGGCGCATATGGGCATGTGGTTGAGATTTTTGTAAATGCCTGAAGTTTTCAAATATTTTTGAAGCATTTTTAATGCGGCTTCCAAAATTTATGGAAATAAGTTCTGTTGCTGCAGCAAAAGTGCTTAAGAGTTTCGTAAAGTATTTGGCAAGTTAACTTTCAGTGCATATACATTGGTTATGTGGGAAGTTTGTCAGCGAAATGTAGCTGTAATGCTTGAAGCTATATAAGTGCAATTGCAAATTGCAGGCGACAGAGCATTTGAGTGCAGTTAAGAAGTCACAAAAAAAGCAACGACAATTTGAGTTCATTCATTCAAAATATATAAAAAAAATTTTTTAATATTTCAAAGAAACAAGTTTTATTTTTATTTAGCTTTTGGTCCCAAAATCCAAATATTTTCCCACGAAAAAAGTTTTAAGTTTGCTATCTGTTTGAAAATTTTACATAAAAAAGTTGCTAGTGTAAAGAAAATCAGAAACTGAAATAAATAAGAGAACAAATTTCAAACAAAACAAAATTTTAAAATGTCGAAAGGTTGCCACCTGATAAAAAATGTTAATAAAAAAAAATACACCAGAAACTGAAGGAATTTTGAATATGTTGTAAATAAATAACAATGTTTTGAAAGCGTTGCCACAAATTTAATAATACAATAGGAAAATAAAAAATAGCAAAACGGTTTTTACAAAAAATAAAGAATTATTATTAGAATTTTTATAAAGAATTTTTAGTTAAAATTTATATAAAAGATCTTCATTCCATTAGAATTAATATTACTATAAAAGCACAGGAATTTTAAATTGAGTTAAGATTAAACAATACTTTTTTATAAGCGTTGCCACCAGTTTAAAGTATTTAAATCAATTAAAATAATAATGGCAATATGTATATATAATGCTGTAAATGCGGCAAAAAAACGTGTAAATATGGTTATTGAATATATTTATTTCAAGCAGGGTGATCAACATAAATTTTCCAATGTTGAAAAGTTGCCACCTGTTCGAAAATTTTAAATAAAACAATCATTGATAGCAAGAGAAATCACAACCTGAAAAAATTTTGAATCTTTTAAAAATAAGCAATACTTTTGGTTAGCGTTGCCACCAGTTTAAAATTTTTAAATAAATTAAAATTAAAAAAAAAGGAATAATATTGTCACAATATGGCTTTTATAAAAACGTATTTGAAATTTAATTCTAAATTCTAAATTCTCTATAAAGTTGGCAGTTTTTTTAACATTTTAATTAAATTAAATAAATATTACACTATCGTAATGAGCGTCATGCTTAGAGAACTAAAAATAAAGATTTTTTGAGATATTTTTGAACGGGCTTGCAACTTCTATTTTATGGAAACAATTATAAAATTGCATTAGTGATATCAAAAGCAAGCTCTTATATAATTTTTGTTAGGCACTTCATTTGATAAACTTATTACGGCGAAATTAAATTTATACCCGCATATAATGTAACCAACTCACAAACTATTAAAATGATGACAAATTTTGTAGCTACCTATTTTTAAAACTTTACTTAGTTCTGAGTTACATCTTTAGCTACACATTTAATAAATTTTTCCATAATAAAGAAGCTTAAGTCGAAACAAACTTCAAAAATTTCTAAGAAAAACATTGCTCATTATTAACGGTTGTAAAAAAAGTAGTATAAGAAAAGAAATTATTTTAAAATAATTAAAGACATCAAGGTCTTTTACACCTTTATTAATATTTACTTTAATCAGTCTTCTACTTCCATTTGTCCTTTCTCAAAGCAATTATCTACATTTTAGCTGTTTCTTTCGGTTCCGCATTCGTTACTTTATCAATACTAAAGTATAACACCATTCCTTTGCTCGCAACCGCAGCATCTTTTCTTATCTCTTTAGCTTTGTATTCGATTCAAAGGAATGTAAATGAGTTTCAGTAAATATGAAAATTGTTACTGTATTTATGCGAATTCTCAACAATTTACATTCTGATGCGATGATGCGGTGAACTACAGATTGCCATCCTTTGTTGGAAATGATTAAAGGGAAGTTTTGTGCTTAACACTTTGTTGAAGATTGTTAGTAGTTTCATTTGCATTTTAGTAATTTATTGAAGTGAGAATGGCATCATAAAGGTAAAGAAATAGCATTGGTGCTATAATTAAAGTTTGGCTTGTGAAATTTTGAAAAAGATATAATAATTAATCGCTTATAAATGGTATGTAAATTGTCTGCGTAATAATAATTTCTTCCATCGATTTTTTTTTATTTTTAATTCTTTTATAAGCATTTATATAGCTTCTACAGAGTTGCCATATTTTGGTATATTTTAATTTTAAAACATTTATTTTTGCTTACAAATTGTGCTGTTAATATTAAAAATAAAAAAAATTACAAATTTTTTAAAAATTATTTTCGAAAATTCTGGATGCACCAGTGTTGCCAAATATTCAAATATTTTTTTGAAACATTTATTTTTGTTGTATATTATTCTAATTATAAAAAAAATATATAAAAAATTACTCATATACAATTTGTAAATTTTTGGATGCCATAGGGTTGCCTATTGTTACTATTATTTTATTTAAAAATTTTATTTCCAAACATAAATTTCACTTTTGAAATTATGCTCTCAAAACTTACCTTTTATAAGTTTGGTGAATTTGTATAAGTTGAGAGAAACCTGTAAGAAAGAAAATAGACATGAAAGTTTCTTTTACGTCATTAAAACATAAGCAAACGCTCTTTTATGAATTACATAAATCAATATATTATATATATACATAAAGCGCAAAATACTGGATTATATATTGCGTTAGCAATTCCTCAGCAACAATTAAAACAAATGTAAACTTCTAGTAAATTTCATTAGCAATTACTCGCAACTAAACGCAAAAATAGCTTCCTCAAATTCAAATTATTATTGCAGCGTCAAAATTGCAATAAACTCAACTTCATTCATATGCAAATGAACAATCTAAACAATACATCACCAAAATCTATCAAAAAAGTTATTCAAACTGTGTGGCGCCTACCGATCATACTCAGGCGGGCAGTCTGGCTGGCTCCAGCATGAACATACAAGTGTATGTTTGCATATGTTTATACGTGAGAGACTGTGTGCTGAGAGAGTGTGTGCGTGTATACTAATGTGTTCCGTAGCAATAAATTGTATCAAAATATTCAACTTTTCATCAGCTCAATTATTGTTTATTTTTGCTGTTGCTATGACGTCACGTATTCACAAAAATATGGCAATCATATGATGTACACATGTACATACATATTCATATGTCATACAGTATAGTACAAACAAACTACTTGTATGCATATGGGAGCTTCAAACTTACATGTAAGTTTATTTAACTGCAGCCAATTTGTTTTCGACAATATTTAATTCCCTATGTATCCTGCTCCTGTCCTCATATAAGTTTACATATGTGTTTAATTCCGTATCAACTCACATGAATACAAATTATTCGTTCATTAGTTCAAAGTCACGATGTTGGAAAAGGCAATTTAACTAAATGTGAAACTTCAAGGATGTAGTTGACAATTTCCGTACTCTTTTTATGCTATTTCTGGTCTATATGAGTAAGCAGCTATGTAAGTATTAAAATTTGTGAAAAACTCATGGAATTTCATTATTTTATCCCATTCGACCTTGTCAACAAAAATAAAAAAAAAAAGCTTAGGAATAAGCTAATATAAATATTAACTAAAACCTTAGAGTAAATTTCAAAACGAAAGATGCCATCTAAATTTTGGAATTTCCGAACCTAATAATATTGTGTCAAAATTTCATTAGTTTTTTTTTATTCTGCTATGTGGCAACCATACTCATTAGGTTTATTTAAAAACATTGGTACCATTACTTGATGTTACAGATTTCGGTATAAGCTGGCAACCCTACCTACAATAAATATTACCATATTACAGAAGTTTTATGTTAATAAGATTTTTTATCTCATTAAATTTTATATCATTACAGCAAATGTTGTACATCGTAGCTACTTTCATATCGTTAATTTAAGTGGCAACTCTAGAATTACAATATATATTTTTACTATTCTAATGCATTTCCTTACGGTAACCTTCATTATAATATTTTTCGACAATAATTCACTCAAATTAAAAATCTTTTAAATTTCACTTTTTGACATGTGGCAACCTTTTCTCGAAAGTCTTGTATGTACACTTTCAACTAAAGTACAGCACTAGTACTCAGTCAAAAAGTGCATTTGAAAAAATAAAATATATTATTATTGAATTTGTGTGAGGGTTGCCATTATTTTAACTAACGTAATTTTTTATTATGACATTAATATATGTAATTATAATATTCATTTGGTTCTAGGTGAAATATATAAACTCGTTTAACTTCTGGAATATTGAATATTAAAACGAGAGTTGCCACATATTTCTCATGCAAATAAAAAACAAAAACGTTAACTTCAGCTGCACCAAAGCTTTATTACCTGTATTTTTTACAGCATAGAAGGATATGAAAATAATTTTAACTTTACTTTGATAATGTAATGGTAAGTTTGTTTGACAGCTATATGCTATACTGCTCCAACCTGAACAATTTTTTCGAAGATTGTAGCATTGCCGTGGATAATATACTTTGTCAGTTTCGAGAAAATATTTCGTAACATATGGTAAACAAGTTTTCCATACAAGGGCTCAACTTTGACCGGTCAATTTGTATGGCAGCTAAATATATCCTATAGTCGATAGTTTCGTATTGCCGTTAGTATGACGTGTGGCAAATAACAGATCGATAACTCAAAACTGGGGGCATAGCTCACGTATATACAAACAGACATTGTTAAATCGGCTCCGGTCGGTCTCTGACGTTTCCTTCCGGGTATAACAAGTATCGTGGCAAACTTAACACACTCTGTTCAAGGTAAAAAAAAAAACTGAAAATTATATATCTGACATTATACATCTACCGAACTAAACATTTTCCATAAAATCTGCTAAATTTTTAAAAGTATCTAGGCACCAGTAAAATATCCAAAAGAACTCCAAAACCTCAGCCAACCAACTACAAAAGCATTAACTGCAATTTCACAACAATTAATTTCACTTTAAACCACAATAACCTTAGTAAATGAATACAAAGCAAGTGCAGAATATAAACAAGAGTGAAATGTCAAAGGCCAAAAATGCATGACAGCAAAAAAATGCATGAACGCAAATCTGAAAATTATAAATAAAGCTTTGAAATTTATAAGAAATAAATAAACAGCGTAACCATTTCAGCTGAGACTCTGGCTGAGTTGAAGTAATATTTCTTGGTGCATAAAGATAAACATAACTAATTGTAGTTGCTGTTATAATTCTTGCATATTTTAAGTTTCTCTTTGACAGTTCACAAGATGGAATGTCGTAAATGTAAATAAAAAGTACCCACTGATGGAAGCAAGTTTAATAACTATACAGATAAATGAAGTACACAGGGAAAATTTCACTTTAAGGAAATTTAAAATTTTGAGCTATGTTCAGAAGGCTTTATTTTCTCATATTAAGTACTGTTGTTGTACTAGTTATCATTATTTTAAAAACTTTTTCCTAAAGTTTGAAACTTCGACCAATGCAACTTTATAAATATTTTCATTAATTTCTTAGTGCTCTCACTGTAAAATTTTCATATACTGTATACATAGCTGTGCTACATTTAATTATTTTTTATGTTGAATAAACAACAATTTAAACCCAAGTTTGCTTACGCAAAATCTGTGTCTGCCTTAGTAGGCAAAAATTATGAAAAGCATGTAAATAAGTTGGTATATATCATATATACAAGTATACCATATATGCAAATACAAATATATGTCCGAAAATTGGTTATATTGCTATTTTGATATCAGTATGGTTGCGCAGAAGTCTGAATTATTATGTCAGAAATTTTATTCTTTGTATTTTATTTGTAGGTCTTTCGCTTGTCTGCTGCTTTCATTGTTCCAATTCGTAGTGGAAAAATAAAAATACACATCATTTTGAATCACAAACAATTCATATGGTAAACTTAATATTATTTTGATAAGTGTGTGAAAGCTCAAAAGCTACTGACAAATATTTGGGTCCATTTGATTGAATCATTTTGATAAATAAATTCACTTAAAAAAATAATAAATTATTTTGAGCTTTTACCAAAGTTAAAAAGATAATAACTGAACTATGAAAAATTAATATATATAAATATAACAAAAACAGATTTATATTTACATTTGTTTTCAAAATGACTAATAAAACTTTTAAATTGAGTGGACAAGAATTCACGGAAGCCAATGTGTAAAAGTAGAGGTAGGAAATGTAAGCAAATAAAAGAACAAAATGGTTGAAAGCTGTGTGACGCTATATATGTTTCGAAATAAGGCAGTAGTAGAAGTTTATATGTATTCTCTTACTTACGAAATAAAACCAAAGTGAACGAATTTGCAGCAAATTATAAAAGATACATTTTTTTTTAGGAGCTATACATTTTTAAATACTTTCTCTGCAAAATCGATAAGAAATGATTGGCTGCTTGAAAGTGTTGACTACATTTATTCACGTTGACTTATATCTAATTCTGTGAAATTGAAGGAAAATTTAAGTAATTTTAATGAAAGAGAAGCTGTAGAAGACGGCTAATGTTTGTAACTGACATAACACCCCTGAGGCAATGAAAATGACCACAACATTGGCTTATGCTTATGATTACTTGTATATCTGATAGTGCATCGAGTGCTAAAGATGAGCATCACCCTGTAAATATATATGTATATTTCAAATATTTACAAATATATATTATATAAAGTTATGTTTATATATACCATGCGATGCTAAGATCAGCCACTTTTCTTAGCGGCATACATATACAATACAAATAACGGCAATAAAAGTGCCATGAGTAATAAAGGAACAATAGCCTAACAAATCACACTCAAAATATACATATGTATGTACATATTATATATATACATTAATATATAAATGCTTATATGCCATGAAGTGAAAGAACAAGTCTACATACATATATGTTTATAAATGATGCAGTAGACTAATTCAAGATAGTCAAAGAAAAAATATCAGTTTACAACTAGGAAACACTGGCTGAAATTTAACTAGTCAGAATAGTACGAGTGTCAGAGCATATTAATTTTTGTGGTAAATTGGTGCAGGAAGAGAGCAAACTTATGTCGAAGAGTTGTTTTTTAAATATAAGTTTGACAGGCCTGAAAAAATCAAATTTAAATCGCTTCTTAGAATATATGAAGAATATAGAGTTGTGCGCCGTTTTGAACTAGTATGGGACTAGTATATTTCTGTACAAAATCTGACAGCTTGAATGACATCAACTCTTAAAGAGTTATATCCATTTTCCAAAAATCGATTTTTTTGTTTCACATATGCATACATATATTTGGGAACATTCTCCCAAAAATTTGATCCGGCAAATATTATCGGAAATATAAACGTATTTGTAGGATTTGTTTTGTAATCGTTCCCAAATTTTTAAGCGCGTTTTTCTCCAGAAGTTTTTTCAAAGTCGGTGAGAAAAATTTTTCTGAAACAGCTGAATCGATCGATTTGAAGTTTTTACACGATTTTTTAGATACTCGTATATTGGTGGGTAATGATTGAAGAAATAGGTTTTTAAGATATTAATTTCGATTTTTGAAGCTTTTGAGAGCGATAAATTTTTTCCACAAAAAACGACTTGTTTTGAGAAGCCGAAATTTTGTCAGGACTGGTGCTCCGATCACTATCTGTATTCAGTAATATTAAAGTTTTTTAGTTTTTGGATTTGAGATAGTTTTAAGGAGAAAAATTTCCTCATCGCCAAACATTTTTTTCAAATGAATCACCGATTATTAAAGTACAAGTTAGAGTAAATGTCCATTTATTTTAATTGTTTATAAATTTAAATGCCTCTTAAAAAAAGATTAAGAAAAACACGCTGTTTTCCAACTTTCAAGTATATACTTGTATAACCCCTACAACAATGCCAATTTATTTCATGTTTCAAAATAATTAGTAACTATTTGCTTTTCCTGCTGGGTACATACCTATATTAGTGCATATGTATTGGTACTGCAGCGCAATCTTCTAAAAATTGTTATACTGCATGTTTACGGCGAATTTCGGCTAAATTCACATTTTAATCATAAAATGTTGGCGGTTCATGGTTTTTGCTGTACCCTCGTTGATATACACATACACACACACAATCCTTGGTTATGTGGGCTGCTTGTATTAAAATACTAGTGTGTTTTTTTTTTTCTGTTTTTATCACCGCCAAAAATGTTAGGCAATGCAAAAAAAACGATGTGTATGCATGTGTGGGCACATAACAATAATAGCATATGCCAGAAAATTAGTGGCGAACCAAAACAGCCATCTGGGAATATGTCCATGTCCATGTTGCACACCGATTTTATAGGTGCGCTCAAAGCGGTGAAGCAGCGCCAACTGTGTGGGCAGCATTAATGGATTCTCTCGCCTTGATAATATTCACGTAAATAATGTTGCAGTTTTTTCACTTTTTTTATTTTCACTATTTTATTTTTTTGTTGTTGTCTCCACACGTGTAAGTTGTAAGTGGTTTTCGGTAACATTGGCGCACGTGTTTAACTTTTTTGGCATTTTAGCGGTATTGTGGTAATAAAAGCAAACAATCAGACAGACATATGAGCTGGTATGAATCAAACAGACCGACATAATCAAATGGGAGTAGAATAGCAAACGTTCTTGCCACTCTAGTGAGGTAACCGCATATTGTTTTGTGATGAATTCAATTGTATATCTTCGTTCTTGCTTGCACGTGTAAGTCTTTTTGATAAGAGAACAGAGCAGAATAGAAAACTTTGAATTTTTTTCCCTAGATACCGTCTGCAATGACGCGAAGAAAAGTTGTCATAAAATTTGTGTTTCTAATATTAATATAAACAGGTATCAGATTGTGATTTTTTCTATATAAATAATACATAAATATTTTCTTATTTTCTTTGGCTATTTATGGCATTTGAACAAATTATTGTGTAGTTAAAATAAAAAATTGTCTCAAAAACATAAAATATATATATATATATATATATACATAGATATTATATTATACACCGATATTCTACAAACTGTTATGAAATTTGTTTTTAAAACTTAATTCTCACCCTAAATGTAGACAAAGATTTAAAGCTCAAAATATAATAAAATGTTGTCTACATTTAGGCATATAATTTCACCATACTGGTGGGTAGGTAGAGTGACCGTATAATGACGCACCTGGGCCTTTAAGAGGCCCATAGTGATAGCACAGGGTCTTAAGTCCCCCCCATACTCCATTCATGCCACGTTTGCCTGCTTGTTGAGCAAGTCAGGGACCGATTTTAAATTCAACTCTATAGGATTTCGAAAAGTCGTGATAATGGTAAGAAATGAGAACTTTTTAAGTATCATAAAATGTCCCTTGTTTCTGGCGACTTATTGGGAGGATTCCCACAGTCTAGAACTGAGTCCGCTGCCGTTTGATGACAGTAAGTGTAGAAGTAGTTCAATTCCTCTTCTGAAATCATGTACTTTATGTTCTTCACTTCCCAAAAAGCTGATGATATGTCAGAACCGCTGAATGACGACAAAACGATCCTGATTTGATTTACTATGTAAAAAATCATCAGTCTAAGACTCAAGAGTACGACCGGGTCGTTTTTGTTAATGCTGATCTAAGAATAACGATTTTATTGTTTGTTTGGTTCTATGTCACGACTAATCAACTCGGAAAACTTGGAATATGGCTGTCAGTTAAAGAGTCAAATGTATATTGCTACATAAATTGAAAAGTCACCATATTAAATTTCCAACGTTTCTATTTTGAACTCAAGCATTATTCAAGTATATTCTTCATTAACAACATTAACTAATAACAACAATAAACAATCAACAGCGATGAAGTCATCTAGAAACGGCGTCTGTAGACAACACGACGAACGGTCTTGTAACGGTAACCGTCTTGACCACGAGAGGATGATGGAGGAAGATAGGTGTTTTGTGGTGGAGCAATTGGCTGAGAGAGCACCGCCTCCTGAACTGGTGCTGGTGGAATGTAGGTGTTCTGTGGTGCTGCTGGTGGTGGAATGTATGTGTTTTGTGGTGGAGCAATAGGTTCGGAGAGAACGGCTTCCTGTACGGGTGCGGCAGGTGGGATGTAAGTGTTTTGTGGTGCTGGAGGAGGGATGTAAGTATTTTGTGGTGCTGGAGGAGGGAGGTACGTGTTTTGTGGTGCAATTGGTTCCGATTTCACTTCCTCATGAACGGGAGCCGGGTAATTGTAGCCACCACCACCGAGATGAGAGACATCGGCAGCTGCGACAGCCAACAAAACGAAGGAGACAGCAACGAAGAATTTCTGTACAAATGGAATAGATTTAATTAGTGAGTACACATATTGAAGCACTATTTGACTCATAATGCACGAATCACAAATTTTTGTTGATTTCTTTATGAATAATATATATAATATTTTACTGTTACATTTTTTTTTCTATCGTGGGTATCTTTTTCTTTTATGATTATTATTTTTTCTCTTTGCTTTGCTTTGTTTGATTTAAATGATAATTAATTTTTCTATTTGTTTACGAACCATTTTTTGGTTGTTGATTGTTTGAGCTGTTTACACCACAACGGTTAAAGTTTGATAATATCTAGGTTGGATATTGCACGCGTATTTATACTCGTTAGATATTTGCAGCCAAAGGTCGCAGCATGCGGCTGGTCCGAGCTTAAGTGCTGCAGCGCTTCATTGACCGAGGGCTCGCCTCTAAATCACACGGAAGTTGGCATGCAAGAATTCGAGCCGTTAAAGGTATTAGGTATTTTTTCCATGATTATCTTGATGCTGTATCAGAATAATTAACATATAATATATTATAACCTTTACTAATTCATTTTTCAAGTGCAGTCATTTGGTTTACAACAAAATACCAAAATTCTGAGCTTTACCGTTTTTTTAATTCAGCTTCTGTTTTACATAATTTAAGAAGAGTAAAAAGACCTTCGACCTCTTTTTAAGATATTTAAATTTTTTCAAAAATGTTCAAAATGCAGTTGAAAGATTTACTGCTGAGTTAAGTGATAAATCAACTCAGGTATGTGTAGTTAATTTCAGATAAGAGATTTCTGATTAAGTTTTTGGATGATTGGCTTTTGGAAAATATTCCATTTAAGATGTGTTAAAGAATACAATCAAATTCCTCTTTTATTTATATTATACGAGATATATAGTTTTAAGGATAGATTTTGAAGTAGCCTAAAAGTTGTCCTTAAGAATTACCCCATTAGCTCCAAATATTTTTATTAACTAACTTTAATTAAACAATGTGGATAAAAGCGATTTATTCCATAGTCCAATTCGAGTCAGCACGTATAGAAACACACCAGAAACATATGATATCGGTCTAAAACGTCAAGCGAGAGAAACGGTGCTCAAGCATCCGATACTGCCCTATTTTCCATTTGCGCAGCAGCTTTTGATGTTGTAGATATTTTTCTTGGAGTTTAAAATAAATAAAAATGATGGGGTTTGCCTTAATTTGTCGATAGAAATTTCATCGACTACACTCTTCAGTTATATTATTTGAACAACATATATGCCATCTGAAAATTTGATTAAGTGTGGGCATGCATGCCTTAATTTAGGTTCCTATTGTGAAATCGATTATAATAATTTGTATTAAAATACATGAAAATGTAGTTTGTTTCAGGTTCAAGTGATAAACGCAAGTTTAGCTTTCTGAATGCCCTCAGCAGGCGAGATCCAGTGTGGCCGGCGCTGTCAAAGCGAACCCAACCAAGACTCCCCCGAGGAAGATCAGCTGCTCGAATTCGAGTGAGTCGCAACGGGCCTCTACCGGAGGGGCTCGTAAAAAGAAGAGCGGAGGCCGACTACCACCATTATCACGCAGCTTCCTTCTCCTCCTATGGAGAAGTTCCCTATCGAGAAGTTAGGCGTACAAGGGGGGGGGCTACCCTCCAAGCAGGAATTTCTGGAGGGGCTTACGGACTTAGCGGATGGAAATACCGAAGACGGTGAGGGTGAGGACCACTTCCTTAAGGAACTGATTCTATAGTGGTACCAATAACGAAAATTGCCCAGGTGAAACTGCATCACGCAGCGTCAGCCTCGGCTGTCATCGCGAGCAAGTTCATATTGAATGGCCTGGGCATACTGCTGATCCAGGAACTATGAATCTTCAAAGGAGAGGTCAGAGGCCTCAAAACAGAGACACACAAGGTAATCTGGGATCTCTCTAGTGAGAGACCTAGAACCTGTATAGTAGTTAGGGACTATATTGATTTCTTTTGAATTTCAGAGTTCCTAACACAGAGCCTGGTCGCTGTGCAGGCCAAGGATAACGAAGGAGCAGACTTCGTCTTAGCAGCGCCTTACTTTTGGGGGGAGGCACCGACGGTACCCAAAGAGGCCGTGGATAACCTGGTGGATTACTGCAGAAGAAACAAGTTGCCCCTCGTCCGAGAATGCGACGCAAGCGCCCACCACATAGAATGGGGCAGCACGAATTGCAATATACAGGGTGAGTCTCTCCTTGAATTTATTAGTAGTAATAACTTTAGTATTGAGAATGTGGGGTGCGAAACCACCTTCGTAACTAGTATTAGAAGGTATGTCATCATCCCTCTGAGTAACGAACTCTGACATGATTTATCTCACAACGGAAAAAGTCATCAGAACCCTCCATGTCAGATGTATCATAAGATTCGCACGGGGCGTACAGGTCGAGCAACTCACTCTCAGGCGTATCCCTAGAAATACGGACCTTTAGGATATGCTTCTGGACTGGAGAGCAAATTGTCTGCGCTAAGTCAGCCCATTATAGAGACATATCACAGCATCTGTCCCCTAAAGACAATCACATAGAGGCGTAGCTGTATTAAACAAGGCCAAGCATACCGGAAACTGAGAGGACTACAAGTGCAGCCTAACTGCTTACAACAAAGAGATTAGGACTGCAAAAAAGCAGAGTTTCAGGAAGTTCTGTGAAAACGTCTCCTCAGCAAGGCTACATAAGGCTCTGACAGATGGGTTTGGCAGAGGTAAGATAATCTCGTCCCAACAGATGAATGCTCTAAGTGCTCAAATACCACTGGCTCTTCTCCCATAGGACGGCAATACCAAAATGGTAAGCTTCACCAAGAAGTTTTAATTTACCCTTGGCAGTAAGGCGGACCTACTGCTAAGGAAAGGCACTGGCAAGTGGTATACCGACGGCTCGGAAACGTCGGAAGGGATTGGTGCAGGAGAATCTGGATCACGCGCCAAGCTCTCCATTTCCAGGGGAAGTTTTCCAAGCATCTTCCAAGCGGAAGTCTAAGGTATAAGTCGGTGCGCAGAAACAAATCTCCAACGCAACTATTGTAACGAAAATATTGCATTAAATTCCAGCTACTTGTCGCGTTCTATACCGGCCATTGCAAGCTCAAGAAGCATCTATACAACATGGGCCTAGCCTCTTGTGCAAGCTGCCGGTTTTGCGATAAGGGGCGGGAAACCCCAGAACACCTGCTAATAGACTACACAGCAGTCAGCAGACATAGAATTAAGACCCTAGGTTCCATGTTTCCGAATAAAGATCACATCGCCTCATTAGCACCTAGCAGTATATTTGAATTCATCAATTTGCTGGAGCTAACTGTGTCGCTATGACTTAGGAGAGGGCACAATAGACCGTAGGTCGCGATGCATACCTCGTTTTCAAATCTAATCTAATCTAATGACCATGATGTTTAATTGGCAAATCTTCTATTATTAAGTATTTTACTAAAGTACTGGTGTTTTTTGAACATCTTAACAATAATGTTTCCAACTAGTTTCTACATAAATTTTGGTTCCCCTCTGGAGGCAAATCGTATGAAGGAACAAAATAAACTGTTAATATAACATATAGACTAGATTAAATATCTTTAATCTAAGAAGAAATACCCATAAATAATAATTATATTAAAAATATCGATTATTATTTGAAATTATTTCTCTATTTTTAAGCTCAGCTTTAATAGATGAGAGCTCATACGACGTCATCAACTAACATTATGCTAATGTTCACTAAACATATCTACTTCTATATTTTTATAGTTGAACCTAGGCATATAAATATAAATACAAATAAATACATATATATATAAATATTTTCAGGTATAATTAAAAACGTTTTATGCTAATAAATGTCACCAGCTAATTGTTTATACAAATTTATTTAATTCAAGTAAGGTGAGCTAAGTTAATTAGCGAAGAAAGGAACGCAGCATTGGACTTATAAAATATCATGCAAGAAAATCGCGCACATATTCTTCACACAAATTAATATTTCAACTACAACACTTAGTTAAATATTGTACATAACGATATTTTTTAAGCCAAAATATATATCTAAAATATTGCATGCTATAAAAATATTACAACTAATGGGAAACTATTAAAATATCATGCGAGAATTTTTCATTTTTTTTTTTTTTCATTTTTGAAGGCAAACAAGTAGCGAAAAACGCCTTGACGAATAATTAAAATATGGTAGATATTAGATTCGCCAAATATGTGTAAAATAAATAAAAATTTATAATATATTAATGTTTTTAATAAAAATGGAAATTTTGTAATATTTATACAATTATCGTAATATTATTTTGAAATTCGTAATATCTACTTCAACACTATAATAATATAAACAGTTAAGTATATGAGTATAAAGACGAAAACAGCTTTGTAATATTCAGAAGGAAACGTTGGGGACCTTAAAAATATATGTACATATAGATACACAAGAAAAAACTTTCACTTCGGTTGCACCGAAGCTAAAATACCTTTCACAAACACAAAAGATCGCTTACAAGAACATTAATCGGCCAGTTTGTATAGTAGCTTTATGCTATAGTGATCCGATCCAAACACTTTGTTTAGAGCTTATAGCGCTGACTTGGATAATAATCTATAAAAAACTTCGTAACGATAACTTTACAAATAAAAAAGCTTTCCATACAAGAATTTGATTTTGTTCCTTCAGTTTGTATGGAAGCTACATGTATGCAAAAGTGATCCGATATCGACTGTTTCGTTAAATGAGCTGCTTCTTGATGGAAAAGGAACGCGTGACAAATTTCAGATTTCATCTCAAAAACTGAGGGACAAGTTCGCGTATATATACATAGACAGATGCAAATGGCTAGAGCTCGTCACGCTGATTATTTTTACAACAACCAAAACGAATTGTTAAATGTTTTTTTTAATAAAAATATATTAGTTAAAGAAGATATATAGGTATATTTAAAAAAATATATAATAATTTTGTTTTATAAAAGTTATAACACAAAAAAAAAAATGTTTCTCGCGTTACGAAAGAAAACCAAATTTCATGCCCATTAATAAAAAATATCCCTAATATCTGCACAAGTTCAATGAAACTGATACAAAAAGTTAAAAGCAAAGAAAATTGTAAAGAACAAACAAACAAACCATCAAGATAAAAGAGCACACCAAAAATAAGCAAGCACAGCCCTCTAAGCATGTTCAAAAGCAGTTTCCTACCACAACATGTACTTCTAAAGTGAAACAGTCAAAGGCCGAAAAAGTCCAGTCCAAGACAGCAGCCTACGATCCAGTACTTTTTGTTAATACAGATGTAAGAGAAACTTTCATATGATTATGGTTTTTATTATCCTAAATATGAGAAAGCAAGAGAAAAATATGAGGCAAAGCATGCTAAGGAGCAAAACTATTTACCAAGCTAAGATCAAGTCTCTACTGCAATTAAAAACTCTATATTCGAATTAGTAATAGTAGAAGTTTACCTTTACCTAAACATGTTTTGGAACAAAAGTGTGAAGGATGGAAAAGTTCTATTCAACGACTAATGAACTCGGATTAATTGTATGCGGCAAGTCTAAAATATGGATGTCAATTCAAGGCTCTAATGTGTATTATTGCATAAATTGAAAAGTCGCAATATTAAATTTCCAATATTTCTATTTTGAACTCAAGCATTATTCAGGTACATTTTTTTTTAACAACATTAACTAATAACAACAATTAACAATCAACAGCAGTGGAGCCATCTAGAAACGGCGTCTGTAGACAACACGACGAACGGTCTTGTAACGGTAACCGTCTTGACCACGAGAGGATGATGGAGGAAGATAGGTGTTTTGTGGTGGAGCAATTGGCTGAGAGAGCACCGCCTCCTGAACAGGTGCTGGTGGAATGTAGGTGTTCTGTGGTGCTGCTGGTGGTGGAATGTATGTGTTTTGTGGTTGAGCAATAGGTTCGGAGAGAACGGCTTCCTGTACGGGTGCGGCAGGTGGGATGTAAGTGTTTTGTGGTGCTGGAGGAGGGATGTAAGTATTTTGTGGTGCTGGAGGAGGGAGGTACGTGTTTTGTGGTGCAATTGGTTCCGATTTCACTTCCTCATGAACGGGAGCCGGGTAATTGTAGCCACCACCACCGAGATGAGAGACATCGGCAGCTGCGACAGCCAACAAGGCGAAGGAGACAGCAACGAAGAATTTCTGCACAAATGGAATAGATTTATTTAGTGAGTACACATATTGAGGCACTATTTGACTCGTAAGGAACGAATCACAAATGTTTGTTGATTTTTTTATGAATAATATTTATAATATTTTACTGTCAAACTTTTTTTTTCTTATCGTGGATATATTTTTCTTTTATGATTATTATTTTTTCTCTTTGCTTTGCTTTGTTTGATTTAAATGATAATTAATTTTTCTATTTGTTTACGTACCATTTTTTGGTTGTTGATTGTTTGAGCTGTTTACACCACAACGGTTAAAGTTTGATAATATCTAGGTTGGATATTGCACGCGTATTTATACTCGTTAGATATTTGCAGCCAAAGGTCGCAGCATGCGGCTGGTCCGCGCTTAAGTGCTGCAGCGCTTCATTGACCGAGGGCTCGCCTCTAAATCACACGGAAGTTGGCATGCAAGAACTCGAGCCGTTAAAGGTATTTGGTAATTTTTCTATGATTATCTTGATGCTGTATCAGAATAATTAACATATATTATAACCTTTACTAATTCACTTTTCAACTGCAGTCATTTTGCACCAAAATTCTGAGCTTTACCGTTTTTTTAATTCAGCTTCTGTTTTACATAATTTCAGAAGAGTAAAAAAGACCTTCGACTTCTTTTAAAGATATTTACATATGAAATCAAAAGAGATTTTCTAATTATTACTACAAAATGAGAAAAGTGTTACATAATTTTTGGTGCACCCTAACATCCGCTCAAGTTCAATGAAACTGATACAAAAAGTTAAAAGCAAAGAAAATTAAAGAAAATTGTAAACGCAAACAAATAAACAAACAAGTAAGCCAAAAGAGCAACAGCTGTCATAAACGAAGAAACCGATAGGTAAACACTGACAACAACAACAGCTACGGCAAAACCAACAAAAACAAACAAGCACAGCCCACTAAGCATGTTCGAAAGCAGTTACCTACCACAACATGTAAAATCAAACAATCAAATGTCCAAAAAAATAAAAAAGACAAGCCAAACTAACAACAACAGTAAGTTATGGCACTCATGGGAGAACAACAAAAAGTTATAAGTGCAATAACACTAAAAACAAAAACAAAAACATTAATTTAATATTTTTTTTTTGCCTTAAACGGCTGATGACCGTTCAAATATTATGTTAACCAAAGCGAGAAACCACAAGACCAACAACAAAAGCAATAACCAAACTAATAAAAGCAATAGGAACAACAATAGCAGCAACAATAAATGCGGACGGGCAATAACAAACGAAAATACAGCACTAATGATCTAATCTGCATAAAAAAGTATCTGGACAGAGCATCATGAATTACCAGCTGACTACTAGACACCAACAACAACAACTACGACGAAAAGAACACCAAAACCGCACGCACCAGCACAGCACACCATCATCTGACGAAGATGCCGTTCAACCAGTGCACGTCAGTCCGCATTTGTTGCCCTTGCGTGTCGACGACGCTGTAAACGATAGCTAGTGTGGTTATTGTTTGGCGTCTTCAATGTTTATTATTATTTCGAATATTTCGTATTTATATACTAATATTTGATATTTGTATTGGTTGCAGTGCTAATGTACGTCGATTTGTTGGTGGCAACGAAGCGACACGCTGCTCTAATATGCATACTAGTACAAGTAAATACTAGCGGAGTTGTGGGCTGCCGGCGTCATCGATTAGCCATTAGATAAGGTGTATTGTAGCGCTCGTTAATTGGTCTTGCCCGGGGGCGAATACCGCGGATGAACTCGCGAATGGTCGTAAAAAAGGCAATGAATAGGCAAATATTAAAATTAGTAATATTTTCAGTCACACAGAGAAAATCAAAAAAAAAAAAATACTTGAAGTTATAAGGACAACACCTAATCACCATTGGCAGGCGTCAACTTGTTGAACAACACCACCGATAAAGGTGTATAATATACACATAAAAGAATTTCTAACTCAGCTGACTTGAACCGAGTTGAGCCAGTCGAACTGGTTCGATAGGCACTAGTTGCTTTGACTTTCGGCTGCGATTTTCTTCATATTAAAATAGAGAAGAAGAACTCCCCACAAAATTACTTTTTGAGGCAAATAACTCGACATATTTGAGTTGAAAACAAAAAAGAAAGTTAACTTAAGGTTCACCGAAAACCCTTCACAATTAAAGAAAATTTCTTACAACAAATTGATTCTTATCGTTCAGTTTGTATGGCAGCTATATGATATAGTGGTCTAATATCAATCGTTGACACAAATAAGTAGCTTCTTGGTGAGAAAAGGTCGTGTGCAAAATTTCAGATCTCAGTTCGCGTGTTTACAGGCAGTTTAATAGACGGACAGACAGACGAATAGACATGGTATAAAAATGAAAAAAACCGCTCAAGGACAGTAGTTTTCCAACGCATGTTCGGAATATCAAATTAAACACTCGTTTAAAATTATAGATCTAATATATGTATGTAGATTAGCTTATCGGATATTTGAGTAATAATATCGGTTAATATCTTCACATAGTCGTCCCCCTATAACGAATATAATGACGTCTCGAGCAATAAGTGATGTGCCCTATCAAGAATAGATTTTATCGAACCATTTCTGTTCGGTCGAATACCTTTTGTATGGATATTATAGACAAGGAATACATTGCTAAGCATCTCGACATATAATTTTAAATTTCTTTATATTCTTTAATTCTTCGGTAGGAAGTAATGATGGGGTTCATCTTTTGCCCATTTTATAATAAATTTCAGATACAGATTCCAGCAAAAAGTTTTTTGATGATCTATAGTCCAGTTGGTATTGTATATGCTTCATCATTGCCAAAATTAAATGTATGGACTTTGTTATGGTAACGAATTCACTAAAATTGAACCAGTACGAGTCTGTGTCGAGTCGGCTGGGTTCGTAGGTCTCTATGACTTTGCGCATTCACATTAAACTCTTTATTAGCGACATCACAAGCATGTAGATGTCTAGATATATTATAGTAGGCAGAAGCCAGTGATGAGTTTAACAACTTTATTTTTTTAACTTTACTGAAATATGCGTATATCGTAACGGCATTGTAAGACGAGTTCTGGCTCCAGTCCAATGGACGAAGTGACGCCGTTTACGCTAATAAAATGTTGAAGGTTCTGAACATATTTACAAAAAAACTGGTTAAGTTTATGTTCTTAGTAGCAAAACACATTATAATCAAGAATCACTAAAGTTATAATTTAACGGTAAGATATTGAAATCATAATTATTAAACAAGTTTGTCGTAACAAACCGAAAAGAATTCCATAGCCTCACATATTTAAGCATATGTATTTACCTAGAATCAGTAATAATGCGAACAGATAATTAAAACATAAAATATAAACAACATTTTTCTTCTATTTAGATATATATAATCATCAAAAATTTAGAATCGCCTTTATGGCGTAACTTAGCTTAGTCGTTTTTGAACATCTGTTTTCCGTATTTTTAGGTATTTTCCGAAGTAAGAACAAAATAAAAAAGTGAAATACAACAATGATTTTACCAAATAAGAAATGCTACTTCCGCATTTTATGCAAATGACTAAGAACGGCATACTGTAACTAATATTCGAAATTGGCGCCTAAATGAATTTGCGTAACGGATATTTCGTTGGTATAAATAAGCACGGGCGAAATTAATTGGACATAATCCAAGTCCTACGTTAGTGGTGCGAACAATTCAAGAAACTAGCAAAATGGTGAGATGTAAAGCAAATTTTGTTTGAAAAAGGAGCAAATTTAAAAAAAAAAAGTTTTATATATGTTTTGAGGGAAAAGAAATGTGATTGAATTGAAAAAGAATTAATAAAATATTATAAGGAGAAATTTAAAAAATAAAAATATTTTAAATATGTTTTGAGGGCATAGAAATGTGATTGAATTTCAAAAAAAAAATTATCAAATATTAAAAAGTGTCAGAAAAATATTTAAAATATATAATAAAAATGGTTTGTGGAATTCGCATTAAAAAAATGTTTTAAAAGTTTTTTCTATAAAAAAAAAATTAAAAATAAATAAATGATATTTTTTATCCGAAAAATTCTTACAGAATTTCAAAACCAAAATAAAAATCGAAATATTGAAATAAAAAATATATTACTAAAAAAAAGGAAAATTTAAATTCATTCACAGTCGTATATGCTTTGAAAACGTTTGTATTTTAATACCATAAATAATTATAATTTTTCTTTCCCGCAGAAGCTTTTCATTGCCGCATCCTTTGCCTTGTTGGCCTTTGCCACTGCTGATGTCTCTCACCTTGGCGGTGGTTACAATTATCCTGCTCCTGTGCATGAAGCTGTACGCTCGCAGCCGATTGCACCTGCTCAGGGCTACAGTTACCCAGCGCCAGCTCCAGTCCACGAAGCTGTCCAATCCCAACCGATTGCCCCAGCACCCGCCCAGGGCTACAGCTACCCAGCTCCAGCTCCAGTCCACGAAGCCGTTCAATCCCAACCGATTGCTCCAGCGCCTGCCCAGGGCTACAGCTACCCAGCTCCAGCACCACCTGCACCTGCTCAAGGCTACAGTTATCCAGCTCCAGCTCCGGTCCATGAAGCTGTGCAATCGCAACCGATTGCTCCACAAAATACGTATATTCCACCAACTGCATCGCTCGGTCAAGATGGTTATCGCTACAAGACCGTCCGCCGTGTTGTCTACAGACGTCGGTTCTAAATTTGGAAATGTCCCGAATGCTCCAAAATTTTGACTGATTTTGTTACGAAAAAACCTGATAGAATTTAATAAACGTTGTTGAAAGTTTTAATATAATTTAATGAGAGTTTCTCTAAAAAGAATTTTATTTTAGATTTCCTGGAAAAACAGACGTTTCAAAAAAGTGAATCTGGAATTAATAAAAAGATTTTGAAATATCACAAGAAAGATTCTATTAATGAAACTACACACATAATTACACATATCGACCTGATAACGATATCCACCTTTTAGTTAGATAGTCTTCAAACAAATGCCGAAAAACCGTTGAAGTTTGGTCTTGAAACAGCAAAAAAAGGCCTAGTAAAAATTTTACTTTTTAAAGTACAAACAAGAACTCCGAATATCTCATGACTCTAAGGAAAAACTGGATCCATCTTAGTTCTTTTGTTTGCTGAAATATTTTCGAACTCAGTTGGAAATCGTCGGCCAAGGCGAAGATATTATACAAATTACAGCACCATCAAAAAATTATGTATCAGCGTTCGCTGCAATCTTTGCACACACTATTTGATATAATATCGGACTAAAGGTCTACATTTCCTTCGGTCTTCTAATGTTGTTTAAGAAAGAGTTATCCAGTTTTACACAGTTGACTAGAGAAAAAAAAACACGAACCAAATTTTGTTTTATATATGACAGATCAACAAATTTTATTTAGATTTAGATTCAGAACAAACACAGGTACACTTCCCACAGGGAAAAGTTATTGGAGACGGAAGACAGCTTAGAAACGGTGTCTGTAGACTACGCGACGGGCAGTCTTGTAGTGGTAACCGTCAGCCTCAAGTGTGGCGGATGGCTCTGGAGCTGGAGCGGCTGCTGGAGGAATGTAGGTGTTTTGTGGAGCTGGTGGTGGTGGTGGTGGAGGAGGAGCAATTGGTTGCGAGCGCACTTCCTCATGAACTGGAGCTACTGGTGCTGGTGGGAATGTAGGTATTTTTAGGTGCTGGTGGTGGTGGTGGTGGAGGAGCAATTGGTTGCGAGCGCACTTCCTCATGAACTGGAGCTACTGGCGCTGGTGGAATATAGGTATTTTTTGGTGCTGGTGGTGGTGGTGGTGGAGGCGCAATTGGTTGCGAGCGCACGGCCTCATGAACTGGAGCTACTGGCGCTGGTGGTGCTGGTGGAATGTAGGTATTTTTAGGTGCTGGTGGTGGTGGTGGTGGAGGAGCAATTGGTTGCGAGCGCACTTCCTCATGAACTGGAGCTACTGGCGCTGGTGGTGCTGGTGGAATATAGGTATTTTTTGGTGCTGGGGGTGGTGGTGGTGGAACTGGAGCTGGTGGCGCTGGTGGAATATAGGTATTCTGCGGCGCTATCGGCTCCGATTTCACCTCTTCATGATGGGGCACAGGATAATCATAGCCGCTATGCAGATGCGAGACATCGGCGGCGGCGAGCGCCAGTAAGGCGAACGAAAGGGCAACGAAGAGTTTCTGCAATGAACACAAAGTTTTATAAATTTTTTTTATATAGTTTTGTTTTATGGATCTTTTATCAATTTTTCACTGAACATGTACGCACCATTTTCTCTTTTGCTTCTCGAACTGTTAACTCCACAACAGCTAAAGTTTGATAATACTCAAACAGCCGTTGGGCACTCTATTTATATGAGCGCAATATGCTGGCCTACACGCTTAACGTTTAGCGGAAGCTGCACTTGACTACCGAGCACACACACACACAAACGAATTGTTATGCTTATTGAGTCTCCATATAAAATTCGCATTTACTGTTTGTTTGGTCGCGGATAACATCTAGCTTCATTTAGCATGAATAAATTATAAAATTTGCTGCGCGTTTAAAATTTGTCAAAAACAACAAACACGCGACAAAAACCACATTTAAGCGCACGTTTCGCGAATACTTAAAATTGTGTATATGTATGTATGTGAGGTGCTTCACATATTCGCAGCCATTGACCTACACATGCAAACCTATAAAGTTGAGTTTAAAGCATCAGTTTTAAATATTTTGTATTTTTGTTTCATAAATTATAAAATGTTGTTCTTAAATTCTGGTATATCCTAGAATAATGAATCACAAAAGATATTATTAAGCTATACTAGTTTGTTTGGTTTTATTTAAATATGAAAATATTGTTCTCAAATATTTAAGAAAAACTCACTTTTTACTGAACAGCATACACACATACATACATAAAATTTGTGAACCAAGTTATTATACCCTGAACATTATACCCTGAAGAAAACGTTAGAGACCTTATAAAATATATATATATACTAGCGAACTCGACAGACGTGACTGCAGCGCAGTCTGCCGGAATTCTATTCAAAAAGTTCTAAAAACAATTTATAAATAAATAAATGCATTGTTTAAACATTATCTAGTTGATCGAATTGTGAATTTTAACCATTCTCAAACCTCCTTTAATACACACAAAAGATTTCATCAGAATCGGTCTAGCTGTTTGGAAAAAGTTCAATTACAAACACACGTACAGAAAATGTATGTATATAAAGGAATATATAAATAATCAGCATAACTAGCTGCGTCGATTTAGCCATGTCCGTCTGTTTGTATATACACAAACTAGTCGCTCAGATTTTGAAATATCGATTTGAAATTTACCACACGTTCTTTTCGCTCCAAGTAGCTTTGTCGAAATCGCCGATATGGTATTACTATAGCATATATCTGCAATAAAAACTAAACAATCAGCATAGAGCCATTCTATGGAAAACTTTTGTATTGGACGAAATATCTACACGAAAATTAACATGGATTATTTTCTGAAGCAACAGTGAACCGAAGAAAACGCTAAGATCGGATCGCTATAGTATTATCTATTTTTGTATGAAATGTTTTGTATTTGTGAAGGGTATATTATTATAGCTTCGGTGCAACCGAAGATGACATTTTTTCTTGTTATTCAAAAGAAATCGACACAATAGGCGATTTTATATAAAAATTGAAGGTGTTAATAATTCACTAGCTAGTAGCTCGCAACTTCTATATCATCGCCGCCAAAATTATTTAATATTAAATTATCTAAACAAATTCGTGAATGAAAAATTTAATAAACAAATTTATTTATGCATAACCAGTGCACAGCAAAAATCACATACACACACGCATACATGTGCAATAATGCATGTGTAAACAACTCAATCATAAACGTCAAATTCTGTGAATGTAAATGCCAAATGGATTGACATGCCACAGCTGTGGGCAGATGAACAGAAAGCACATTAAATTCGAAAATACACAAAATTATGCACAATTATGTTGTACGCACACCCTATAGTAGTGTGCGTTACAAAGATTCCGTAAAAATCATTCCGTAAAAAGACAGCGTATTTATTTATTTATAGCACGTTTTTACTGGTTGCCAACGAAATATGAAATTATTGTTTATCAGCGAACTCAATTACGCTGACATATATACACATGCGTGACAGAGTTTTCAAAATATCACAGGAATTATGAAAGTAAATGAATTTGGACATTATTTTGTAATATAATATTAACTCAATAATGGAACTATCTTCGGCAACTTTGGCGAATTGCTAATATTATATTAACTTCAACACATACCGTATTTTAGAAATGATACTCCATGGCTAATGAATAAAAATTATACAATTCTAAACATCATGAATAAACACGGGTTTAATTGGTAATGCGACCGAGCAAAGAAGATTAATGAGGAATTAAAGGAAATGCATAGAGCAACGGTTGTGTGATCGACAGTTTCAATAGGCCAATAGCAGCCGACCGACGAATCAAAAGGTGAAATAGAAACAGGTGCCGGCTTATTCTGTAGTTATGCAAGCAGGCAATAACTTGATTCTCAGTAGATGACTCGATTAATATTATCTCGAAACCCAGTCATATAAGAATAGAAGGAAATGAAAAAGTAGACAAGTTGGCCTGCTTAGGGCAGCTGGGAATACAAAGCTGTCCCAGACCATTCAGCTCCTTCAAGGATTGTTTGAAGCAATGGACTCTAGAGGAACACATCAGGTCTTAGAACACTAGCAATACAGGGCTTGCCACAAAGGGTAATGTTGATGGTGAACAGATCAGGTAAAAGGAAGCTTGGTAATATTGTAGGGGTCATCACAGGGCACCTAACTTTAAGATCCCAACTTCACAAAATAGTAAAAGTGGTTTTCGCGGAATGCAGGGCATGCACGGAGGATGATGAGACCTGAAACATTATCTTTGCGAGCGTCCAGCCCTCAGCCGGATAAGACGGAATATGTTCTAAATATGACAAACAATCTCTACCATATAGATCTCAGTCTTGTAGATTATACTTTCTTTCCGAAATTATGCTCTTTTCAGAAAAATTGTTTTGAAGTTGGAGTTGAAATCTGACAAACATTTGCCAGCCGGTAGATCTCTACAAATCCTTTTTTCCAACATCTTAATATATTCCGGATTGGTAAATTTGTTAGGAATATTGCCAGACTTACAAAATACTGTTTCTTCGTCGAGCGAGAATATATATAAGGGTGGAGCGAAAAAAAATTTTTTTTTGCTTAGCCTGAAGGTCAAATTTGTAGATTATAAAAAAGGAGATTTTTGAATAAAAAAAATGTTAAACATCTAGAGGCGGCCCCTAAGTTTTAAAGTAAATTTCGAGTTAAAATTTTTTTTGGACAAGAAAAAATTATTTTTGGTTTAAACTCTTTACATTTATATAAAAATTACCGAATGTGACGGTTTTTGACTCAAAATTTATTTTAACGCTTAAGGAAAGCATGTTAAGACTTTTTTTAAAACTCCAATAATGACCACAAAAATTTTTTGTAAGTTGATAACTTTTAATTGGCCAGAGAGAGGACTCTCCACAGCTTCTAGAACATTTATCTTTTTTACGAAATAAATTTTCTAGATGTTAAAAAAAAATATTTTTTTTTCGCTCCACCCTAATATATATGTACCACAGATTGACTACCCAATCTAAATAAGCAAAATGTTTTTAAATGCGTTTTATATTAAATACCAAAAGTGTGTGTGAAAGATTTTGATAAATATTATATGATGAACTTGATATGAATGAAATGATGTGAGATTAATTGCCC